AGGCAGCAGCAAGGCAATGGCTTTCAACAGCCCAACCACCACAATAATAGGTGAGGGCACAACAACAGCCCTGCGTCCAACTGCAGATGTAGGAGAGGCAGTAACACAGCTGCCCTTGTGAGAACAGCCTGACTGTCATTAATAATCATTAATAATTGAGGGGTCTGTCTTATACCTATTTCAAGACGTCAAGCACTAGCATCCTTGCTGGAGGGAAGAAAAAGCATCAGAACATCAGCACCAAATCACTTGACTCTTTCTCTGCAGGAATAAAAGGCTTTTTTGGAGCTCCTATCCTGCTCTAGGGATGACCAGCCCTGATCTAGCTTAGTCCATGACACCATTTGGGATCACAGCATGCGGTGGTCTGGCTCTGATGAGTAGCACAAGGCAAAGCTCGGTGGATTTGTTCCCAGAAAGATGAGAAATAGGGAAGGCTGCCAGAGAGGCGAACACATTCCTCTCACCCTGTTGCTTGGGCCAACTGCCTCCCTGTGGTCAGGGAAAGCATCCTAGCAAGCCTGTCCTTCCCCTTGGGCACCCAGTACCAGCCTGCGGCACTAGGGACATCAGTTTTACTAAGGAAGGCTGATTGAGTTGCTCCTGCTGCAGCAGGCCTCTGGAGAGTTTGCCACAAACCTGCTTGACAGCCCCTGCTGAGCAACCCCAGGCCAGCTCCTGCAGAGGCTCCTCAGAGAGTAAACACTCCATGCTTCACATTAAAGGCCAGTGTGATCACTCTAATGGCATTCACACAGCTGGCTAGCTTGCACAAAATGGAGCCTAATATGGGGCCTTTGCTAATGGCAATCATTAACCACAGCCCTCAATTTGTTAAGCAATGTATTTACACAGCTGGAGAATGGCCTGAGATACAACCACTTGGCTGCCGGCAGGAGGGCACACATGCTCGGATGTGTGCTCTAAACACACTCATGTTCATTTGCACATGCTTCTGTGCACATGTTTATCTGCTCCTAGAAGCCTCATGCTCGCCCTGGTACACAAGCACTTCCCTGGTTACTTGTATGCACTTCTCCATGCACTCACCAACCTCACCCTGACTTCAAAATCACAAGAAGAGCTGTCCCTGCTCGTATGAATCCTGTTCACTCACAACTTAACTCAAGCCAAAAGGGGCCTTGGATGTGACCGAGCTCCACCAGCATACAGAGGACAGTTCAAGGGAGCATAGCTCATCACTTGCTCATACAACTGCCTTAAGCAGGAAGTTAGTTTCAGTACCTGCAGACACTCAGATTACTTGATTGCACACTACATTTGAGTTCAAATAACTCCAAAGAGAGCTAATTTGTGTTACTCACATTTCAGGTAACTGTACATAGACAGCCTCAGTCGCAGATGCTTGTCAGCATACACATAGGCACGCATACATTCCCCTTCTTCATTTATGCGCTCCCACATGTACATTCTTGCAAATCTGTGCAGTAGTCACCAACTGTATTATTACCATTAAATACAGGTAGCAAACAAGCAGCAAGGTTTGAAACATATCTGAAACACATTAACGAAGAAGATGGTATGGATGGTGACTGGATCCAGCTGCCCCAAAGGAAAACTTAAAGAATAAATAATGCAGAAGAAAAGTGGAGCTTCAATCATATTAGCAGCTCTCAGAACATAGAAGAACGGGCAACTTCCCCATAAATCCACCTGTAACATAACAATACATTTCAGCAGCGAAGAAGTACATAGATAAACAGGCAAGGAGTAAATTTACTAATGTAAACCCACATTTGTTCTTAAATAACCCTCCCTTACCCCTGTGAAGTCTAGGAAAACATCCAAAATGTAGATTGTGAAATAACTTAATTTTGGACTCATGACGCCACAGAAACATGGTTCTCTTCTTCAGAGGAAGAGAAGGCAAGCACAGCTCCAAGTACACTTTCAGCTGTGGGAATGCAAGTCCCCAAAGGAGAGGGGGAAATTAAGTTACCTAACACAACAACGTGCTAGAAGGGAATGGTGTGCTAAGGGTGACATGAAACTAAATTCTGCTTAATACTCTTTGGTCTTCTTTCATAAGAGGGAGAGTGTCAGCTCTAGTAGGCTGGCAGGAT